AAAAAAAATAAGGTAAAAAAATAATTTTTTTGCGGGAGGAGAGTGTAGGGTGGGGTGGGGTGGAGGGGTAGTAGGGTGGGTGATAACAGAAAAACTGAAATTTGAAAAAAAAAAATCCTTTTTTTGAGAGAGGGGATGGGATGGGTTGGTGAGGGTGAGGAAGGTTGAGAATGAGTTTTGGAAAATGTTTTCCCTTCTCTTGATAAGGAAAACATTTTCCTCCAATTGGAGAAAAATGAATTCACAAGGAAATTTTTTTCCAAAACATTTAAGCCAACCAAACATGAGAAAATTAAAAATATTTTTTGAAAAATATTTTCCTTCGAACCAAACATACCCTAAATATTTATGTGAATGTTCTTCTATAACTTTTTATGTACTCCCCAATTTATCAACGAAGTATGGAAATAAAAACTACTATTCACGTTAATAGTCCTTCCGTTTTGTTAGAGATTTTGTATGTCATCAGAATATGTAAAGAATTAGTGTTAGAGAACCTAAATTTTTATAAATTGCATAGAACGAATTCAAGTAAAACGATATGGATAGTAAGCACTCACGCCATCTCCAACCTTACCCCCATTTCCTATAATGGGGGTAATTTTTGGGGTAATTTAGTTCCAACTCTCCCTCATTTTTGTCCCCAAAATGGAGGATGAATAGTGTTCCCTCAAATATGGGGACACACTATTCATCTCCCCCATTACTATTCATCAATTTTGTTATTATTATTTTATTATTTAATCTTTTAATTTATCTCTTTATGTATACCTAATTATGTTTATGTAATGTCTTTATAATATTAATTCTTAACTTTGGTGTATAATTTGATAAATTAATTTTCGTGCATTTATTATTTTTATGTAAAATTGTAAGTTAATTTTATTATAAGTTATAATTGTACAAAAAATATATAATTATCTCAAATATGCTCATTTTGCACATAGAAGAATTAAGGACAAAGATGTTCATTTTGCACTTCGTATATAATGCATTAATAGATCATTTATGGGAGAATACTAGAGGTTGAAGTTAAATATTTATGTAGTATTTCGAATGAATTGTATCGTTATGTAATATGCATTTAATTAATCTTGTATCGCAATGATTTCACTTTTATTTGAATTATTAGTTAATCTATAATAATTGCTTATAATTTTATTATTTAAAATTTTATGAAATTGTTTTAATGGAAATTACAAATTAATAAAAATAAAAGATGGAATTTGTTTAATGAAAATTAAAAAATGAAATTGAAATGAAAGATAATAATATAATATAGACGAGAGAGAAGAATATAAAAAAGTTTGGGGAAAAAATAGGGGAATGGTTGGAGTAAAAATGAGGAAATCTCCATTTTGGGGACCAAAAATAGGATAAAGGTTGGAGATGCTCTCGTACATCTACCCCAACTTTTATTAAGATGCATATTTTACTAGCTTTGTAGTTACGATGTTTGTATTTTTTTTTTCTATAGCAGTAATTGGTGTATGTGCTCACTACGAAAGTATGTTTCGCACAAAGAAAGCAAACAACTCATCGATGGTACAAGTCAGTCATCAATCATCACTATAGGTTTTCTTTTTTATGTTTAGGCCAATATATAGTTAATAATAATAAAAAATTTGTATCTTGAAACTATCCTTAAACAAAGGGGTAAAGATCACTTTTAGTCCACGGTCAAAATTATTTATATTCAATAGCCGCATAAGTGCATATAATTTATATATTTTTTGTATATAGATATACACTATTTCGATTATTATTTGAAAGCGACTATACAATGTCATTTCCTTGAACAAACTTCATATACGTTTGCGAACAATAAACAAGCCCAAAATAACCTTAGTTCATCAGTTGGACTGGCCCATAATATTTAGGCCCAAGTAACTGGACAGGCCTGTTTGTATAATGCCAATATGTTCTGAATTTGTAACATTGAGCCCAAAAGAAATGCTTTGACCCACTACACCACAGGTGTTAAGTTCCAATATAATCTGTATTTTCCCGAAGCGACACAGCTTACTGCAAATTTTCCTTCACAATTGGCAGTCCAACCTAGCCGCAATGAAGAAGAAGCAAAAATCCGCCACCACCTCCGCCGCAGATACCACCACCACCGTAGTAGATTTGAAATCCCTAATCCACGACCACAGACTCTTCTTCGACAAGCTAATCGACCTAATTCCACCTAGATTCTACCTCCCTAAAGAAGACGCTCCCTGGTACGGAGGCCTCTCCAAAGCCGCCAAAGCCTCCGCCAAGCGAAAATCCAAAGAGAACCTCAAACTCGCTCGTCGCAACCGCCTTGATCCTGGCAAAAAGGATCAAACCTCCACCCTCGGCCTCCTCGAACAATCCCTTCAGAAACAGCAACAAACTGACGCCAAAGCAAATCCCGACGAAGATCATGCTAAACCTACGCCCATTAATTTGGAGGAGAACGATAATAACCCTAATAACGATAACTCCTCCGTTACTTTCGAAGGGCTGAGACAAAAGCTACGCAGAAAGATCGAAATGCTCCGTGGTAACCGCGGTGATGGCGAGAGTTCGCACAATAACAGAGCAAATGATCGTAGGAGGAGTGAAAAAGAAGCATCTTTAGTGAAATCCGAGGGGAAGAAGAGAAAGAGAGGTGAAGGAGAAGGAGAAGACGGTAAAGGAGAAGATAACAGTGTGAGTGAAGTGGAAAAGGGAATAGAGTTTGGGAAAGTCAAACTCGGAGACGACGATGACATGAAAAAGAAGAAGAAGAAAAAAGGATCCAAAGCTAAAGAATTGGAAAGGCTGAAGAGGCTGGAAGAGGTGAAGAGGGAGAATAGGACGGTGGCGGATAGGGAAGCATGGAAGGCAGCAGCAAACAGGGCAATGGGAGTGAAGGTGCACGATGACCCTTCAAAGTTGAAGGAGAGTATGAAGAGGGAGAAGAGGAGGAAAGAGAAGAGTTCGGAGAAGTGGAAGGAAAGAGTGCAGAGTCAGGAGAAGTTAAAAAACGAGCGACAGCAGAAGAGAAGGGATAACATTGCTGGCAAAGTTAAGGAGAAGAAGATGAGGAAGATTGCTAAAAGGGAGAAGAAACTCATGAGGCCTGGCTTTGAGGGCCGAAAGGAAGGCTACATTACTCAGGATAAGAGCTAAACTAAACTGGTCATGTGACTCTTTCTTATGTTTTCATATTTTTGAATTTAACTGCTATTTAGGTTGGAGAAAAAAATTTGTGATTGTGTGCTGCTAGTCATTTGGTAGTAACATGTTGGTTCATTAGCCGATTTCAACTGGATTGGGATTGAGGTGTAGTTTTTATATTAACATGCTGGTTCATTTATTGTTTTCATGAAATTAGCATGATAATATATGCTTGTCAACGAATATTACTAGTTTGAGTAGAACATATTGTCTGAATATATTTCTCAAAGAGGGTGGAAATGGAACAAATATGAGATTCACCATGAATCTTTTGCTCTGGAACATATTTACTTGGCATTGTCACTCTCTTTTTTATAAATAGATGTTTTACATGTAAAATGGCTACACATATATCCCTAATATTTCAAAACTTAGCTGCACCCTTGTGAGACAGACCAACTTACTTTATTAAGAGTCCTTTAAAAAGCTAAGCTTGTTCAGATGGTAAGATTCACTTAACTTCATACCTCTAAGCGCTCGTGGCTATAGTCACTTTGATGCTCAAAGTTAATCATTGCACTTGTAGCTACTAACTATATGTTTTTCAATTGTGGAATTATCAAATGATTGAGAATGTTTAAGGGAGATTTAGTTTAGCAAATTGGGATTTCACTGTGATGTAGTGGAGTTGTAGACAGATGTTGTGAACTGATTCGTAACTTCTTGCTAGTGTCCTACTTATGAATCTAACATGTTAAGATGAATCCGGTGATACAATACCAATTGGTAAAAAAGAGATGATTTGTAGATTACATGAGCATGTTCCTAATTATTTGCTGCTAAAGAAAAGCTCAAGAACCTAAAGGTCTATCCCTAACAGTCAATGAGGTGGGATGAATAGGGGAACAAGGTCGAACTCCTAACAGAGACGAAAAAGATTAAGTAATTTCTTCCTAACTGCTTAAGCCTTTGTGCGCAGAAATAATTGTGTTGGTGGGAGGTAGTTGGTATCTAGTGGAATAGTCAAAAGGTGTGTGCAAGCTAGCGCGGACACCATACTTGTAGAAACTAGAGCCTTACCCTTTTGATTGAATGATAATATCTATCTTGTGCTTTCGGTTCATGGTCTGTGAATCTAACAGAACATTTTTTTCTCCACATTCTTCTTCTATGATTATCCACTTGTTTATGTCAACTTCCTTCTATGTGCGAACTTTGAGTTTCATACAGAAAATTTTCAATATGCTGCTGTTATCAAATCTTTCGCAAACTTCTGGGGCATAGCCAGCGTTCTACTGCAATACTGCAGCTAGCACAACACCGCTGCAAGTAACCATAGTATAATCAGGCGCATAAAGCACAGAAAAGTGCCAAGCCACGCGGGGGCTTAAGTTGCAAGTGCAATTAAAGGACAAGATATATTTTTTGAGGTTCTTTTATGCAAGAATTTTAGTATGACTGCAGTGAATCAAGTGAAGCTTATGAACTGGTTGTTTATCCTTTACGCACTTTATGCCTTTCTAAGTGCTTAAGTCTTTGAGTTGTGAAAGATCTCAGTTCGTCGATTCTACGTGGACTTTTTCTTCGATTGGTCAACAAGTTCATTTGGATCCAATTGATCAGGCAAGATGGAGTTCTTTTATGTCTTCTGTGCGTTATGCTTTAATATTATTGTTTCCGACACCCAAAGGTACCCCTAAGGTCTTATGATGAATACATAGAAGATTAAGCGGAAATAAAATACATAGAAATCAAGCGGAGGTGCATCCAATACTGTGAATGAGTTCCTTAAACTACATCATATAGTTGGTGTCTCTTGTCCTTTCTTGCACATGCGTTCAACCTTCTCTTTCACATTCTTTAGCCAATACTGCCTAAACAATACAACATTGGAGAGTACTAGAGTTTGATAATAGGACATTAATTTGAGACAAAGGGAGAGATGCAGAGAATTGAGAAAAGTATGGATAAATATGAAGGAAAACGATTTTCTTTTAGGAAAGTGCAATCAGTTATAGAGTGGTGATGGGAAGCAGGTATAGACAAAAGAAATAAAACTTTTTTCTTTGTATCTCCCATTTCCACCCCTTCGTGGAGCTGCTAGTATAGTTACCAGAGTAGGGCAGAGGGGAGAACTCCTGAAATCCTTTTGATCAGAGACTGACCAGTTACTTACATCAGTCGTGTTTGAGTGATGCACAGAAGATGTAAACTTTGAAGTAGGTTTTGGTTGTTTTCCAAACTTTCCAAGTGGCGACAGGAGGAAACTTGGTGATATTTCCAGGGATTAAGATCCTTGTTGAAATATTGATGCAATATGATTCAAGGGTCCTGTAAAGCATGATGGATTTCCTTTTGAGCCGTGCTACTTATAGAATGGTTATGGGAAGCTTTCAAGAATTTCTTGCTGATTTTTATGCCTTGGCATTGAGCTTCAGCTGTGGTGCTTCATCCAAGGGGATGCTACTAACTCGCTGCTGATATCTCTAACCTGAGGAGTTAGGTCCCTCTACTAGCTGGAAGAAAGCAATTAGCAATGTAGCTGAACTTTGTTTTGTTTTACGCTAACTTGCTATCTTGCTTTGCTGGATCTTGTGGCACTCATAACGCCACTTTAGCATCTTCATGTTTCCATATTACGTTTTGTCTTGTGGTTTGTTGTGCTTGTATGTTCGAGGTTAGAATTCAACTCGCTTTCACTGAAAATGTCTTGTTAGTTCCTATCTCTCCAGTCCCGTGCTTGTCTAACTTTTTGTCTTCGTCTGGTTGCCTATTTTCTTGCTAGATCCGTTGGTTTTTCCCCTTTTAAAGTTATTTGGGTTTTTTTTTGGGGTGGAAGTATCAAAGGTTGGGGCTGATTCCTAAAAGAAAATGCAGAACTTAGAACTTAAGTAGACTTTTAGACATACTTATTACTTGCTAATAATGAAATATCATTTGCAAACACTTATTATTTGCAAGTCCTTTGTTTCATAATTTGTTCAATTTATTTCAACTTCAACTTAAAATAGAGAATATGAAGTTGAGAAAGTGGGTTGTGGAATATTTCTAGTGAAATGATAGTTGTCACCCACAAATGTCTAACTCTTTTCCCAGGTGAATTTCATGTCTAAACACAAATTTCATCTTTCAAATACTCCTTTTCAACTTCAAATACTCATTTAATATTTCAACAAAATATTGTCCAAAGGAGCAGACTTTGCTAGTTTATTGCGAGGTTAAGTGCAGTTTGCCTGCACAAGCAAGCGAGCCTTACTTTGAGATGCATTTCTATTCCACTCCTGAGTTAGTCGCCGTGTCCATGTGCATGTGTGTGGGGAATATGCTTCGCAATCTTGTCTAACAGGTGACTTAGAAAAGTTGAGGGCACATGGGAGGTAGGTGCTTAACTTATCGTATTAAACAGAATCCAGAAAAGTGTATCCATAAATATCCAGAGAGGGTCACATAACCATACACATCACCACTAAAATCCATCATAATATTACAATTCCCGTAAGAAAAAAAAAAAAAAAAAAAAAAAACA